AAGTGTTTTGGAGTTTGTGTTGTGTTTGCATTGAATAACTAGTGGTCTATTGATTACAGTATAGTCTCATTGAGACATCGATTCAATGAAGGCATCACTCGTTCATGAATTAGTGCTTTGATTGTCAATACGATTAACAAACCAAACACTTGTCATACAATCGGTTATATTGTCGTCAATATTGGGCCCAAATGTGGCCGAAGTGTCCCTCAAACCACTAGACCCTAGAAATCAGCGCCAATTGTGACATTTGAAGCGAGATTATCACCGCAATGGCAGTGCATTCTTCGGCATCATTGACCTCATCGGTGGGTCAGACGAAGCGCAAAGAGATCTACAAATATGAGGCCCAATGGACTGTCTATTCAATGAATTGGTCCGTCAGACCAGACAAACGCTTCCGACTGGCACTCGGCTCCTTCATTGAGGAATATAACAACAAGGTATACATCACCACAACTGATCCCATACGCCATTTGTCGCTTTGTTTTAGTTTTGTTTCCGACTTAATGTCTTATTTTTATGTTTAATTTGATAGTGTTTTGAATATATGTGACATTTAGTGAGACTTTCCTTATATTTAAGTGCAAAATATAAGCGAAAATGAATTCAAGTCTTAATTAAGGCATAAATGGGTCACAAATTCTCATTTAACGTGATTTGAATGCCTTTTTATGTGATTCATTAGTTTTAATGTTTGCTTTGATTTTGACAATTTGTTTCTTTAATCGCAATGTATTTGTAATGATATTAATGGCGGGGAATGGGATGTCTGATCCGTACTATAGGTGCAGATCGTGGCGCTGGACGAGGAGTCGAGTGAGTTCTGTGCGGTGTCCACCTTCGACCACCCCTACCCCACCACCAAAATCATGTGGATTCCCGACTCCAAGGGTCACTTCCCGGACCTGTTGGCCACGTCTGGCGACTATCTGCGGGTGTGGAGAGCCGGTGACAATGAGACTCGACTCGAATGCCTACTTAATAATGTAATTGAATTGATATATGAATGGCAACTATTAAGACAGTGAACGAAATGCTAATCTCCTGTTCCCTAATCTCCTGTTCCCCTGCAGAACAAGAACTCCGACTTCTGTGCTCCGCTCACATCCTTTGACTGGAATGAAGGTAAGCCTCACTACAGCCACTCTTAGGCCACACTATGGCTGCATATTCTGGCCATTCATTCATCTAATCAATCGCCTTATTCCTTGCGAAGTGGACCCCAATCTGTTGGGCACATCCAGTATCGACACGACGTGCACCATATGGGGCCTCGAGACGGGACAGGTGTTGGGTCGCGTGAATCTGGTCTCCGGACACGTCAAGACACAGCTCATCGCTCACGACAAAGAGGTTTATGACATTGCGTTCAGTCGGGCCGGCGGTGGACGCGATATGTTTGCGTCGGTGGGCGCCGACGGGTCGGTTCGCATGTTTGACTTAAGACATTTAGAGCACTCAACCATCATCTACGAGGACCCACAACACCACCCCTTACTACGCCTGGCCTGGAACAAACAGGACCCCAACTACTTGGCCACATTCGCCATGGACGCGTGCGAAGTGATCATTCTGGATGTACGGGTGCCCTGCACTCCAGTCGCACGACTCAATAACCACAGGGCCTGCGTTAATGGCATCGCATGGGCTCCACATTCTTCGTGTCATATCTGTACAGCAGGTCTGCTATACATTTGAATGTCGTTTGTTTTGATGCCGTTTCTCAATCGCTGCTTATTTGCGTTGATATATAGCTGACGACCACCAGGCGCTCATTTGGGACATCCAGCAGATGCCGCGCGCCATCGAAGACCCCATCCTCGCCTACACCGCCGAGTGTGAGATAAATCAGATTCAATGGGCGAGTACTCAACCCGATTGGATCGCCATTTGTTATAATAATTCACTCGAAATATTAAGGGTTTGAATGAAATATATATGACATTTTTGATCAGCACTTATTTTATTTCATAAATTTCTTGAAGAATTTATTCATTTAATAATAATGAGTATAATTCTCTCAAAAATCATTAATTTTATATTTCACATCATTTGTCTCATGTAAAAATATAGCAATTGATTGCAATTTGCAATAAATGGTCAGTTTAGTCATTAAACACATCCATTGATCGCAAACTTAATGTTCATATAATATACAGTAGTTTTGAGGCATAGGATGCCATCAAATACTGTTCAATACAATTGACTCATTCTTTTCATAAATGTATTTAATATAACAATTCTTTTCTGTATTCTATACATACAAAAAGTCTTTCAAATTATAATCGATTTATTATTTCTCTCAAAATTTATCAAATAATAGATCGATTTCTAAGTGTTTTTATGCATTATTTTAGAAATACAGATAAATGTCATTAATTGAGTATTGAATCGCTATAAATGTCTATAGATTGCAATACAATACAATACAAAACACTTGACATAGTTGTCAAACTAATTATTTTAAAATTAATTGCTTCCGAATTGGTTTATTATTTATACAATTTTTCTAAATTTTTTCAATTTTATAATAGACTGAATTTTGGGGGATATAACATAAAACATTTGTAATAAATTCATTCATTATTTAGAGCTTTAGAGCACAATCTCTCAAAACAATAATTTGTTTGACTACTATGACCAGTATGAATTTTATGAACTCGTAAAATACACTGAATTTTTTACTGAAAACTATTCTGTTGATTAAAACATTGTTTTTAATAGACAAACAGATATCATGTGTTAATATAATTGTCCTCAATATGTATAATAATTCAATAATGAATTGAGATCATTGTCAACAACATAAACAAAAAGGCATTTTTAAATTCAGTTTAAAAATGTTTTTTAATCATTTACTTGTAAAGATTTATATATGAATAGTGTTTAACTACATTTAATATTCTAAAATTAAGTAAACATTATATTAAATGAGACTGTATTTAGTAAATTCTGACATTTCTTNTACATTTAATATTCTAAAATTAAGTAAACATTATATTAAATGAGACTGTATTTAGTAAATTCTGACATTTCTTATGCAGCTTTATATCAAACGATTTGATGTTTTATATATAATTTAAATTATTTATTAATTCTATATTATTATATATTAATGGACTTTTCAACAAACATTTCTACTTTTCGTTTTAATTTAAACATTTATTTATTTTAATGTAACATTATTTCAATGGAAAAAGTTTATTTATAACAAAATTATAAAATTTATCAATTATATCTCAATGATTAAAATTTTATTTGAAAACTGATCTTAATTATAAAATAAATTAATATAAATGTGTAAACAACTTAGATTTTAATATTTAAATAAATTTAATTTATTAATTTTTAGAAAACAATATAAAGGTATAAATTAATTAAGAAAATAACTGCATACTCATTTGGCTATTAATTGTGCTCGTTGTTACAGTAATACTGTTAAACAGTATCGATAGTACTGTACCTTATATACATTTAGATTACAGGTAGTTAATTAAAACTTTTTATTCTATTAAAACTTAAGTTCAATTATTACATTAGAGTTATACTATATAATTATACAGGTGTATAGGTATACATAAGTATGGGTTCAATAATAGCAATTATTGCGGAGAATTCTCTTTGAAACGAATTTTCTTCTCTCGGTTGACGACAATCTTCTGATCATTTGACTTATGATTTGTGTAAAACATATCATAACATCTATAATGAAGTAATTTTATTAACAAAATCAAAATTGTCATCAAATGGTACAAAACCTCCAGAATTCTTCTTTAGTCGAAAACGAAGTCTTCATTTGCAGGAAGTCCTCCCAATTCCTGGTCTGTCCATTGGTTGGCTTCCAATACCAGATTTGCCACTTTTTATCCATTGAATTGGTATTTACTGTCTTCAGCGGACTCTTTAGATTCTCCCCCTTCTGTAAAGAACTGAACGCTCGGATCAAAGACAAGCCATCACTGAATTTGTTGGCCTTCTTCTAAACATTTTAAAAATAATTAGCATTTATTTAATTGTTAATTATATTTACAATAGGCTTTTCGTCTGAATCTGATCCAAATAATGAATCAATCAGTTGTCGAGTGATATCGATGGCCATGTCTTCCTGAACAGACATAATACTTGTAATAATAAAATATATAATGAAAGACGAAGACTTGGAAGAAGTTTACAGAGACTTAAAAATAATCAAATGAACGAAATTTAACAGATTTTGTAATTGAGAACCAGTCAACTGACTCATTGAGCATCATTTGTTAGACTGATTGTGAGTCCACTTATAAGTTACAAATTGATTGTGACTATGATCATTTTAAACTTTAACATATCACCTTTATGTTAAAGTCCTAAAAATAGCCTTGAGTCCAAATACTCAATATTTTCCTATAGGAATAATACTGTTAATGAATATTTTTGTGTATTATCAGCAATATTAAGAATTCAACCTTAAATTCATTACGATTTGTATAGTTATGTTAATAAGTTAGTATAGAATTTATATCAGAAACAGAAATTTAAATTAAGCAAAATGTTTCTTTTTATCTTATATTCTATAACTCAATATTATATATA